ACCTTATTCAGAGGGTCTATGTCCCCCAGGGTCCCCCTAATCCTAGCTCCCAGTGAATAAAGCAACATCTCCTCTACATGCTCGCTTTAGCGAGCACAGCGAAAAACCCAAAACCCTGTTGGCCTTCAGGCCCGAAACCCGAGACCCCAAATCCTAAACCTTAATGTAGGGGCCTCAATAATTAGAATACGGTTTTGGGGGCCCATTATACTATAATTATAGTAAGGAAGCCCCCAAACTAGTAGGGGTAATTATCTAGGCCCCTATATTACCCACATCCAAGGCAGCCGGCTGTGCCGGCGGCAAAAAAATGCTCTGGCCTTTCTGCGTTTTTGGTGCGCGACTCGTGTACATCAATCGTCTTGCACGAGCTAATACTACACTCAGTCAGACAGCTGCAACCACACGAATAACTTGCGGTAAGTACACTTCACTATACAGTATACTATACTATAGTAGACTAGGCTAGACTAGACTGTACTATACTATACCCCCAAGTCCTGCTTTCAAGAGCACTCTCAACTTGATCGCCAAACCTGCCCCTTTCACTGGGACGTCCAAAACCCTCATCTTCTTGCGAGGCTTTTGTTTAAAGGACTCCAAGCACTGACTTGGCTCTCCGTGACGTCTCCCACCATTCTTGCCCGGAATGCTGCTGCCTCAGTTGCAGCCAAGTTGGGCTCGCTTCGGAGGTGCCCTAAACCCTAAACCCTAAACCCTAAACCCTAAACCCTAGACCCCAAACCGTGGCGCAAAGCAAACTCGCAGTGGCCTAGGGGGGTCTTGACAGCTTCGGCCTGGAACACGTCCCCTGCTGTAGGGGCCTTAACCATTAGAATAGGGCTTTGGGGTATATCATATTATATTATATCATATTATATTATATTATATTATATTATATTATATTATATTATATTATAATAAGGAACCCCAAATAATATAGGTAATTTTAAACTGTTGAGGCCCCTAAACTATCTGCCACACCAACGTCGGTCTAGGGTTTAGGGTCTAGGGCTTAGGGTATTAACTCTTCTTCGAGAGGTGCCCTGTTCACGCGCTTCCTAGCACAATCCAGAATAAATTATGTTCATTTAAACCATTGCAGAGAAGACAATGGTCTGTGTATGGATAATTTTGCTGGGTATGCCGTGCATAATATCAGCCATGAATGTACAGACCGTACGTCCATGATACCTGTCAGCGGCCTTTCAACACAACAAACCATGCAAAATCCCCACAACGTGAATGCATAACATCCTGCAGTGAGAACATACCTCTGAAAGAATGACGAAGAATCCGGCTGCCTGAAACGAAGCTACACGGAACCGACAGCGTTATTATAAGAATGTAGCCATGTTCGGCATGTTGTGGAGCGTGAGGGAGTGATGGTCGAACCCAGACATGTTCTGAAGAAGCCCTCCGTCAACAAGACACTTCCGTACATATGGGTGGTTGTCAAAATTAGGGTCCCTTTTGGGGTACCCTAAATAATAGGTGCCGTATTATAATAAGGACCCAAAAAGGGACCATAATTTTGACAACCACCCATATGAGACCAGAGGCTGTAGGGGCTGTGCTGCAAGCCTCGTTCGAGACGTGTGGCGACTTCGTCCAAAACAGAGAAAGACAAAGTGGTTCAAGAACAAACTGGCATCAGCAATGCAAGACATGCACCAGGATGCTCGGCACCTACATCAACTAAGAAGAGTTCCGGCACCCCGAATCCTGCATGCAAAGGCCCCAAGCTCTTAAATTCGAAACTCTTAGCAAAAAGACTAAACTTATAAGTTGCAGGATAAGGGTTTAGGGTTTAGGGTTTAGGGCTTAAAGTCCTAAGCCGAGGTGCTGCTGTAAGAGAACCGCCTGCTCAATGTCGTAGCCCCTGCGATAGATCCCCTGCTCCTCCGCCGAAAGCTTCACGTCCCGTACTGCTGTCCGGGCTTTGGGATTATCCTTGAAGGGGTGGTTCGGGTATCCGGCATGGAACCCTTGGCCTGAGTATGTGCTGTGCACCGGCACGACATCTATCTCAGATGCTTCACCTCGAACTTTGAGAATGCGAGGATTGGAAGCATCCACTGCTTCAGGTCCAAATTCTGCCTTCAGGCGGCTGTGCAAGACCGATCGATCCCTTTCGGTCATGGCTCGGTTCTCGGGGAGCCTTACCTTGACATCGCTGTCAGAACTTTTCAGGTTGGTACCCTTCTTCCGGGACCCACCTTGTAGGATGCTCGCTTGGCCGCCAAACACATCCTTCACGGACGACTCCAGCTTTCGATTGTCTCGGCCGTAAGCTGCCTTGTTGGGTACATGCGCTGCCATATTGATCTTTGCCTCGCGATATCCTGCAGTCCGCTTCGCTTCAATCGACTGTGCCACTGCAGCATGGGACGGCATTGGTGTGCCTCGGCTGCGATAATATTCCTTGTTGTTCGGATTATCTGGTTGGCTCTATTGTTCGCAGCCGCCGCGCTCGCCTGAGTCTGCCTTGGCATGGCTCTGAATTGCGCAACGGAGTCAACTTCTCTCACCTCGAAGGCTGCGGCTGCGGAGTAGGTCTGCGGATCACGGCTCTGGTCCAAGAGGCTGTGCTACAAAGAAACACAAAAGAAAGGAAGACAATACTCCGGATGGTCCTGATGGTACTGGGTAGGAATGCAAAAACTCACAAGAACAGGAGAGTGATGGTCATCATGGCAGATGTCGTGACACGCTGATGGTGCCAGCGGTGGTGATGAGGGTGCCCAGGGGCAAAAAGAGGATTGTGCTAGTGGTGAGGATGGTGATGATGAGGACGAGGAGGAGGATCGCAACGACGAAAATGATGGTCACAGTGACGATGACGGTGGCCATCGTGGCAGTCGTGCTGCGGCAGTTGCTGCTACCTCTGAAGATGAAGCAGCTGAGGAGGTTGATGGTGAGCACATGGCGATGAGGATGAGGATGAGGATAAGGATGAGGATGAGCAATAGTGCAACGTAACGAGGAGGGCCGAGAGGAAGATGGTCATGGGCATTGTCAAGACGTCGAATTACAAAGTAGTCCTTCAGGACAATGAGAATTCTTTAGACATGATGGATACCTCATTCTTCAGGGGTCTTTATAACAAGAATCCTACTACTCGGGCTCTTGACTAGCGTGCCTTCTTCTCTGAAACTTCGATTGGCAGAACGACTTGGAGTATGTGGCTTCATGGCCTCGTAGACCCCTTCTTCATCTGAAGCAGGGTGGCCACGGTTGTAATATCGCAGTACTCCTTGCCCCTCATACTGGGGCTACTCATTTATGTATGCCTTTTTTTGCTTTCCGGTTCGGAGCTTCAGGGCCGCCTTTCTCCGTCACTCAAAACGTCAGTGATAGGATTTGTGGATCGGCCTGTAAGATTGGGGGGATAAACGATGACTCCAGAGGCGTACCAAAGGTCTTGAAGACCACGGGCTGTTGCGTTCGGAATTCGATCGCAATCACGGTTGGGGTTTATGGTTTAGGGTTTAGGATCAACCTAGAGTTTCAATGCACCGAAAGCATTCAAGGCTTCGGAATACAGGCTTCTGCATCTTCACTGAAATAAAACCAAAACCTGCACGACCACAGCACGCACCGTCTTTTAAAGCGAACCTCTGCGGTAGCGCAGCGGAACTCAATGGAAGCGGACGTAGCGCCGATAACTTAACCCTGAATCACGCACACCCTCCCACATTCTTCCTGCAAGCTTACACTTCTTGCACCCGAAACACCATGTCAGCTGCTTAAGCCTTCAAACCGAAACGCCCAAACTCAAACCTGTGTTGACCTTGAGGCCTGCACCCCCTGAACCCTAAGCCTAAACCGCTGGTGAAAGCTCTTAGTCAGTGGAACGCCGATATGGCTCAGTCCTTGGTCGACCATGGAAAACTGCAGGCAGCAAAGCTTACTATAGAAGCCTGAATTATTTAGGGAATTGGGAGGACAGTGAGCAATATTTCTATTCAGGAACCTGCGGAATAGTTTTCCACTAAATAAGTAAACCACTATATTCAGCTTCGAGCCGTTCTAGAGCGAGGCTTCCGGAGTACTTCGGGCTTCTAAGGGCGCCAGGAGACTGTAGCCCTGAACCCCACAGGTTCCCTGACGTCTGGGAGGGCCCAGCATGTAGATCCCTTAAGGTTTAAGTGGTTTTGCTGCTTTTTGGGCTCCGTTTTGCGAAGGGTTTTAGATTCAGGGTTTCAGGTTTCAGGTTGCACGCTTCAGTAGTAGAGGTTCCAAATCAGGTGAACTTGTTGGATCTTTCCGGGATTCCGGGTTGTTTTTGGGAGGGTCTTAGGCAGGGTTTGGGATTTCAGGGCTCAGCTTTGGCCAAGAGTTTCGGACCTTCGCGTTCGGGATTTAAGTTGAAAGCTGTTCTGTCTTTTTCAGGTGTTTTAAGGCTTTGGGCTTTCGGCTTTTCGGGTTTAGGGTCCAGGGTCTTATGGCCTCGGGTCTAGAGCTTGCGGGTTTTAGCTTTACGGTGTGGGGCCTGATACCATGGTGACTCTCAGAATAGGACCTGAACCCTGCATAAACCCTAAACCCTGAACCCTACATGTTACAAAGCTCAGACTTAGGATTTGAGCCTAGGGACCCGGAGAGCTCACACAGGGGCTAAGGGCTTAGGGTTTAGGGGCCTAGCATGCCTGTAATAGGGTGCTGGTGGGGTATACTGTAGCATAGTTTTAATGGAGGCGATGTAAGGAACAGCATTAATAAGTAGTTTTGCCCCCTCACGGTCTACTGTAGCAGTAGAACTAATGGTAGGCGCTATAAAGGAGTCATAACTAATAACTCTGCTCCCCAAACTAGACTTTGAAGGAACCAGGGAGACACAAGTATAGACGTTAATTTCATAATGGTTCCCTTAAGAACAGGTCCCAAAAAGAAGTATTCAAGTATGGTACTCCAGAACCCTAAACCCTAAACCCTAAACCCTAAACCCTAAACCCTAAACCCTAAACCCTAAGCTTTAGAGCGACCCCCACAACGAAGCCGCCGAAGAGTCGACTTTCCAGGGCCCGGCTCCGCCGGAACCCT